CAAAATTAATTATGGAATACAACCAACATCATACGACCGAATAATAGATTCTACGCCCTTACTGCAACAACAACAACGAAAAAAAACACCATCTTAAAATTGTGATTAGAATTCAATATTGGATTCTAGTGTACGTTTTTATCCTCTGTGGAGGTTGTTTAGTAAATATAGACATACACTCACACACACACACATACAAAGACCAAAGGCATTGAAAAATTGGATCACAGAAAAAAAAATAAAAAAATATCAAGATGACCGTAATAAAAGCCGAAAAACAAAAATTTAATCAATTGAATAACATGGCGAATTATTATTCTTCAAACAAAAACAGAAAACAGAATTGAAACAAAACAAAAAAAAACATTACAATCTATTATTCATAAATAACAACAACAAAAAAAAACAAGATTACTAGATTCAATGGCTAAAAATAAATTTGTTTTTCATCAAGATCAATAAAAAACAACTGAAAAAATAATAATTAATTAATCAAACTTTATTTGAATCTAATAAAACAGTAGTCACTGGAAAATCCAAGATTCAGCTGAAAAAATGTTTCAACGAAGAAAAGGAAAATATTTTTTTTTTTTGCCCCAAACAATTTAATGTCATAAAGATAATCTTGTCGGGAAATTTTTTTTTCAATAATTTTATTCAAAAATAATAATAATGATGACTTATGAAGAAAAAAAATTACAAACATAGAGATTATTATTATTATAAAAAAAATTGTTTTCCCCTTTCATGTAAATCAAATACTCTAAAATTATAATTAATTAATTCATTCCAAACTATTATTCACAATGATTATGATTATCATTTTCATATAATGATAATGACCTGACTGTTGTGATTGAGAATACAGGGCAAATTTAATGTGAAACGATAATGTAATAATAATAATAATGTTTTACATATTATGAATTAAGAAAGAAATTCATTCATATTTTTCTTTTTACACAAATCTTCTATTGTAGTATGTTATTAAATTGTTTCATGGATATTTGAATATATTACAATAAAACAACAAAAAAAAAGAAAGATTAAATGAGCGAGAAAAAAAACAAATTCCCATTCTTTATATCCATATACCCCGTATATATTTAGAATATCAAAAATAAATAGTGTTTGTGCGTATGTAGAAAGCACCCTGTCCATAATGATGATATAAAAAATCAACCAAAACACCCACAAAGACACACGTACGCCCACGCTTAAAACCTTTGCAACAAAAAAAAAATGTATTTTAATCACCATTTTCTCTCTCTCGTTTACAAAAACATTCGATCATCACATTTATTTTCTAGTTTTGTTTATTTTTCCATTCGTTTGAAAATTCAATTACATTGACAATCCATTAATGATTTGAAAAGGAAGTAAACAAACAAGCTAAAAGTAAAAAAAACCATTGGAGAAATCGAAATTAAAAAAATGTTAATCATCCATTAATGGTGATGATCGAAAATAGAGTAAAGTAAATAACATTTTCTACATAAATTTTTTTTTAAAACTAAATTTAGTTTCAACATTAAGATGTATTTACAGATCGAGAAATGAATATAAAAAAATAGACATAAAAATTACAAATACAGAGAGAGGGAGAGAATTGTGTAATTTAAAACCGAATGACCTCAACCTTTTTTTTCTCCAATGTTGTTTGAAAAAAAAACATTTTTTGAATAAGAAAAAAAAAGAGTAAAACTTGTTAAGTGAAAAAAAAGAAACTAATTCAAATGAGAGAAATCAGGTCAATCAGTTTGATTCTTATATAATATAACCTGAAGACCTAAAATGGTTACCATTATAACATCATCATCATCATCACGATTGAACAAACAAATAATGAAGAGGAGAAGAAAAAACCTAAACAAAGTTGAACACAAATATTATAAGATAAACGAATGAAACACAAAAATGACTTTTCAAATTTCAATACGGTTTTTTCTTTATGAAAAAAAAAAATATGAACGAGGGTCATCATCATCATCATCATCATCATCGGAATGAAAGATTTGGTCATAATGATTATCATCATCATCATCATCATTATGTATTATGTATTTATGATATAAAGAAATGGAGAAAAAAAAATAGTAACAATCAATCTTGTTTGTCCATATCTCATCATTTTATGATCATCATCATTCACTATTCTCCTATTCAAACACCATCGTTTTTTTTCGGCCCCACTTTTTGAACAAAACTAAATCGATAGCTAGTTAAACTATTAACTATTATCATCATAGAGATGCGTAAAACATCTGATAATGATTCAAACATAAACAACAACAACAACAACAACAACAACAAAAACTACGATCATGATAATGATCAATGATACTGGAAATTTCAGCAAAAAAAAAAGAATTTATTTTTTTAAACTGAAAACTTAATCGAGGTTTTCGGTTTCAAAAAAAAAGACATTCGAATCATTGGATACACAATGGATAAAATGATGATGTTTAAGAAGAAAAAAATTTCAACAAAAAAAAACAATTCTTTTTTTAAATTCCATTGATGATTCAATGTCAATTGACAATATATTCAAAGAGGGGAAAAATAAAACATTGTCTTGCAAGTCGATCAATCTATTCCAGTCAGTTATTTTTATTTTTTTTTAGATTCATCACAAAAAGAAACCATTATATAATATGATGCTAATATAATCATATAACAATAATAATGATGATGATTATCATTAATCAAGATTATCCTATTTATAAAATTGGCTTTATTCAACTGTACTATTGATGATAATGATGATGTTATTTTCTGAACAATTTTATTTCTTGATGTTGTTTGATTCAATTGCCATTCATACTTTTACTATAATTTGAAATTATTATTGTCCATAATATGAATGATAATGATGATGATTACAATGAGATTGTTGTTGTATTAAATTTGTTTAATCTACTATCGATCATGAATATTATTTTTATTATTATAAATTCATTGATTATCTCATCATCATAGCCACTAAAATGATGATGATGATGATGATAAGGAATATCAAACAAAATTAAACAAACACACACACATACAGACATCATCAGTAACATCAAATCTAGATCGACAACATTTGTAAACATCGTGATAAACAAGACAAATAAACATTTTTTAAATGACAAGTAATTTATTTGAAATTTTTTTAATTGAAAAAATTAGGTATTTTTTTTGTCAAATTATCACGAAGAAAATTCAAAATTGTAATTTTTATTTTATTTTTTTTTTTTGTTCCTCAATCCGGCATCAGATTATCCTGATTGAAAGAGTTATTATTAGCCATCTATTTACATTTTCAATTATCAATAACATGATTTTTTTTCTGAAATACAAAATTAGAAAATCTTAAAAGATGACATTTTGATTTATTTAGACACCACAGACAAAAAAAAATGACAAAAATCGAATTACAGAGTGACGAAAAAAAAATATATTTTTGGTTTCGTAAAATCGATTTTTTGTTTATAAAAATAGCAAATGTTGATTTTTTTCATAAAAAAATATTTTTAAAATTAGAAAATTCAATCAAAACAACATACCGATTTAGATAATGTATAATATAATTGAAATGATACCATTGGCAAAAAAAAAAAAAAAAAAAAAACAAAAAATTCATCAATTTTCCACAACTTCAGATGATGCAAATAATTTTGGATAATGGGAAAAAAAAAAA